TAAACATAGGTTACAGGTTTCTTTGTTTTGTAACAATCTAAAAATCAGCTCTGCCCCCTTGACAATAACTAAACACAGATCTATGGTCACTCTTTTTAAGGGAGTATTGCTGCTGCTTTGTAAGATTGTGTTTCCACTGATTGTTCGGGGCACAATGTACCTCCGGTGTAAAGCACTTAGCAAAATGCCTGGCATGGCGCAGGCGCTCAAGGACGGTAGTCCTCCTCTCGACATCCCAGACCGCATCCCCACTTTCTCGTCTGAGAACCTCTTTGCTCTTTGCAGCTGGCTGACTCCTTGCAAAGGCCCCACTCCTCTCGCGGGAGATACTGACTGTGCTACCGGCTACATTTGTTCCTTTCTACATTTGGGCTTTGTGTCCTGTTTGTTCAGGTTTTAGTACAATGTTTAAACCTACCCTTAAATCCATAGAACATTTACGAGGCTATAAACCTTCTTTTGCTTAGATTGGCGTACTCGATTGGTAATAAAACTGAAAGGCTGACAGTTGACACTGAGTGAAATAGGCCAGGCATTGAAGGACAAATACCATATGATCTCACCTTTGACAGGAAGCTAAAGAATAAAACAAACAAGCAAACAGAATAAAAACAAAGACGCTGAAATAGAGAACAAGTGGGCAGCGACCAGAGGGGAGAGGGAAGGGAACTTAAGGGGAAAAAGGGGGAGGGATTTTGAGGAACAAGTATGAAAGACACAGAGATGAGGACTGGGGGGGGGGGAATGGGAGGGAGGGGGGAGACCGGGCGGGGGGGGGGGGAAGAGAAAAAAAAATGTACTTGAAAAGTAACTAAATAAAATTTAATATTTAAAAAAAAAGATTGTACAACAAACTCTCTTAAGAACTTTCAACTTTCAAGGAAACTTGAAATAAAAAAAATGTAAATAGATACAACAGGCTAATATGAACAAGAATAAAGATGAAGAAGCAGTCCAAATAGAATAGAATTTAATGCAAAATATCACAGAGATATTATTGTACATTGGTTAAAAAACACAAATGTTAACAATAAAAATTATATGGTAAATTAACAGTAAAAAAAAAAAAAAAAGAAACTAATCCCTGGATTAAACAGAAGGCAGAACGTGCCCATTAAGTTGGAACATATAAAAGGTAGTTATGAATCTGACAAAAATGAGCACTACTTTTTTGAAATTGATGAAACATTTATGTAACATCCAGAACAACTCGTGAAAAATGTACTTGAATAAGTCAACTATTAAAAGATATGGTGCTATCACATCAGGAAGAACAAAGCATCCCAGGGTATTTTAGGGATCCAGCATCATAACTCACTGATAAAAATTGTACACAACTTTCCAAATTATTATGCATATTTCAATTATGTATTTTATCAATTTTTAAAAGCACAAAACAACAGTGGAAACATAAAAAGAAAACAACTACCCTGTCCATACAAAATAAAGCAGAAAATATACATTATTCTTTCCTAAGATTATTTAAAAAAAAATTTTAGCTGCTCATTTTAATTTCTACTGATAGGACATTTTTTTTAAAAGATTTGGTTTAGCCCTGGCTGGCATAGTTGAGCGCGGGCCTGTGAACCAGAGTATCGAGGTTCGATTCCCAATCAGGGCACATGCCTGGGTTGCAGGCCAGTTCCCAGCAGGGGACACATGAGAGGCAACCATACATTGATGTTTCTCTCCCACTCTTTCTCCTTCCCTTCCCCTCTCTCGATAAATAAATAAATAAATAAATAAATAAATAAATAAATAAATATTAAAAAAGGACATTAAAAAAAGATTTGGTTTATTTATTTTTAGACAGAGTGAAAGGGAGGGAGGAAGAAGGAGGTTTTTTTTTTGATAGGGCATTTTAAAAAATTACTAAATTGAATGGTAAGAAAGCTTTATCTGTAAAATTATGCAAAAAGGTATCTAGGTAAATGGCATTTTAACATCCATTCTACAGATATTTGTAGACTAGAAGTGAACTAGTTTTAAGGAGGAGAGGAAAAGGAGTTTCGGGTGAAAAAAGCAGTGCGCACGAAGGCCTACAGAGAAAGAATGTGAACTTTCAAAAATCTGTGAGGTGGTTTTAGCCCAACCTTTTAGAGTTTGATGGCATCTAGAACCTGTACAAGGCTTCTCCACAGAAAAACAGTGATGTCACAAGAAGTATGGGTGAGATCGTTTCAACCAGAGGTCACAGACAAGGAATCAACAGAATTAACTGAAAAAGTACTTGTCCAATTTGCTAAAAGGTGAGTCAACAGTTCTTTAAGATCTAAACTCCAGCATTCTCAGTTTGGGTAAGAACTCTGCAAGAACTAGTGCTTCAGAATGTTGACCAGAAAAGACATTTCATTATTTAGCATTTGGGGAATAATGGGGAATTTATCTTTCTATTATAAAAATGTATGTTGATAAAAGCACACCTAAATCACAGATAAGATAGATAGATAATAAGAAAGATAATAAGATTCTGGTCAGAAAAATTCTCTTGTATTCTAAGGGAAAGTTATGTTTTCTAGTCCATACCAATCATGAGGGAAGAAGATAATTGACAATTATTGACTTTATTTTGTCAAGCAGGACACACATGATCTCATCAACTCTAGAAAGTAGTTACGGCTTTTGGCCTCCAAGATGGAGACGTAGGTGGAGGAACCACCTTGCCTCTGTGCACAACCAAATCTGAGAACAACTATTTTTAACAACCATCACAACCAAGCCACATGGAAAATCGACAATACGGAGTCCAAAGACATCTAAATGCTCAGCTAAACCAGTAAGAGAAGCGAAACCAGCAGCGGAGCAGGTTAGCAAGAAAAAATTCCCGGGTGGTGCGTGGAGTGCAAGCAGGCGAAGGCGCTGATCACGAGCTAGCTATGGGAGCTCACAGGGAAGAGGCGCGGCAGGCTGTCTGTGGTTGGTCGGTCGCGCATCTGCGTGCGGAGAAACCAGTGAGAAGGGAAGCCTGTGCGGGGCAGCAGGCTTGCACAATTCTGATCGGATAAACAAGATCGGGGCGAGTGGTGTGACTGGACGGGCTGGGCTAGCGGAGAGGACTGCCATTGCTCCCTCTCTGACCCCGCCCCCACACACAGCGTCACAAACCAGCGACCTGGGTTGCCCCGCCCGGTAAACAACTAAGGCTTGGCTCCGCTTACTTAACAGCACGAATAGACCAAAAATGGCTCTAGGACAACTCAGAGCCCCAGAACCAATAGATCTAAGCGATGAAGAAATAGCCAGTCTTTCAGATGCACAGTTCAAAATACTGGTTATCAGGATCCTAACAGAACTGGTTGATTTTAGTCACAAATTAGAGAAACATATGGAAGCTAAATTAATTGAAATGAATGGTAATACAAAGGAAACCAATAGTAATGGAAAGAAAATTGGGACTCAAATCAAGGGAATGGACCAGAAGGAAGAAAAAATGATCAAACAGAAAAGAATGAAGAAATAAGAATTCAGAAAAATGAGGAGAAGCTTAGGAACCTCCAGGACATCTTTAAACGTTCCAACATCCGAATTATAGGGGTACCAGAAGGGGGAAAGGCACAGCCACCAGTGGAAACTTATTTGAACAAATAATAAAGGAAAATTTCCCCAATCTGGCAAAGGAAATAGACTTCCAGGAAATCCAGGAAGCTCAGAGAGTCCCAAAGAAGTTGGACCCAAGAAGGAATACACCAAGGCACATCATCATTACATTAGCCAAGATTAAAATGAAGGAGAGAATCCTAGAAGCAGCAAGAGATAAGGGGACAGTCACCTACAAAGGAGTTCCCATCAGACTGTCAGCTGATTTCTCAAAAGAGACCTTACAGGCAAGAAGGGGCTGGAAAGAGGTATTCCAAGTCATGAAAACCAAAGACCTACAACCAAGATTGCTCTACCCAGCAAAGTTTTCATTTAAAATGGAAGGACAGATAAAGTGTTTCTCAGATAAGACCAAATTCAAGGAGTTCATCATCACCAAGCCCTTATTATATGAAATGTTAAAGGGACTTATCTAAGAAAAAGAAGATAAAAAAGATGAACAGTGAAAGGACAGCAAACTCACAGTTATTAAGAACCACACCTAAAACAAAAGCAAACTAAGAGGACAGCTAGATCAGGAGCAGAACCATAGAAATGAAGATCTCATGGAGGGTTAGCAACAGGGGAGTGGGAGGAGGAGAAGGGGGGAGAAGGTACAGAAAATAAGTAGCATAGACAGTAGATAGAAAATAGATAGGGGGGAGGGTAAGAATAGTAGGGGAAATACAGAATCTAAAGAATTTGAGACACGTGTTCATGAACTAAAGGGGGAAATGGGGGGGTATGCAAGGTGGAAGGGAATGGAGGGGGGAATAGAGCAAATGTAATGGCATAATCAATTAAAAAAAGAAAAAAAAAAGAAAGTAGTTACTTTATCAGCACACTTTTACAGAGAAAGATTCTTGGGGAAGTTATATATTTTGATTAAGGTTCTAGACCTGGTGATGGGGGGAACCAAGATTCAAATGCAAAACATGAGAACCTAAATTTTTAGGTTTACTTTCTCATTGCTTTGATATAAATGTAGATCTCAATACTCATAAAGCCCTTATGACACAGGTATTTCATTCTAGAGATACTGTTACTGAGGTTTAAAGAGTTTAAAACTCGCTTATATCACTAGGTAAGTGGCAAGGCTGACATTGAAATTTATGTTGGCTGCTTCCAAAGCCTATGAGTTTCCCACTGACATCTCCCAAGATAGTGTTCCATTATGGTCTCATGGATGTAGCTGACGTTAAGGGATGGTGTTCAGAAGTGACTGAATAACTAGCAATAGTCATAAAAACACATGATGAAAACTTCCTGGTATAGGCTATATTCTTAGCAAATATTGTTAAAATGAGGTCCTGACCAATAAAATGTCGAGAAAGTTAGTATAAATTGGACAACAGTATGAAGGTAACTTCAGACTTGATCTGGCGATATTCAACACATTAGATTCTCATTTGATCGTCAGCAAAATGAAGGCCTCCGTTTTCACTTTATCTCTATTCTCTGTCCTACTTGCCACCTCAGAAGTGACAAGTGCCAAGTCTGTGAAGCTCTGTGGGCGCGAGTATGTAAGAACGGTTGTCTACATCTGCGCTAGCTCCAGGTGGAGAAGGCACCTGGAAGGGATCTCTCAAGTCCAGCAAGGTAACACGAACTCTCGTGACGCCTTCATTCATTTTTTTCAGGCTTCTTTTAGTACCCGTTCCTCTGATTACTGCTAAGCCACTTCTATATCAATGTAGGGGGTTATAATGATCAAAATAAACTGTTTGTCTTGGGAAAGAGATGAGCTGGCTACCTTTCAAGAAATAAAGACTTTTTTGTGTGTGTCTCTTGCTTAAAGATCATTTGATTGCATAACTTCTTCGATGCGCTCAGCATCTACACCAGGTGCGGCGCGGACAGAGAGAAGTATGTGGTTTCAAGGGCCATGTCCGAGCAGCAAGATTCTCACGCGTGGGTGATTAGTTGGAATTCGGGCAGGTCTAAATTAAGGATGGAAGGAAAGAATCTGTTATTGAGCACTTATAAAGTGTCAGAGAGTTTCATGGGCAGCATTTCATTCAGCCTTCTGACAAGAAGTCTGTGAGGTAAGTACTATTACCACCATTTACTTCACTTTACTGAGGACAAAGTTGCTCACCCAGGCAGCGCGCTGCGTGGCTAGGGAGCACACCCAGTCTGTCTGGATTCGAGAGCTGCAGGGTCTCTGTGTGTTCCACTCTGTGTCTCTGGGGGAAGAACGGGATGATGGACTGTTGTAGCCAGTGACAGGCCTGTGGGGTCAGTGGGGCTTGACCGAGGCCCTGAAGGATGTGTAGCGTTTGGGGATATACCAGGAGTGGGGCGAAGTGAACTTCTGGTAGGAATTCCAGTGGTAGGAATGACCTGATCCGAATTTTGAAGGTAGGAATGAACCTAATGTGTTTCAGAAATAGAAAGGGGACTGACTTCTCTGCATTTCTTCATTTTTTCAATTCAAGTGACTTAGAGGTTTGACTGGAATTCTCTCTGCTCATCTTATATAAAGCATGAGGCAGAATTTACTCAAGATCCTATTTTAATAATCAATCGTGTTATGTTTTATCATAAAAAGTTAAAAAGGAAAACACAATTGCATAATAAATGTTGCAATCACATACACGATTGTGAAGGTTTCCATCCAGTTTAAAATGACTTTGGTAAACAAATATATTTTTTTAAATGACCCACTGTTTTTATATTTTAATGGGCTAATTTCTTGAAAAATTATGAACTTTCTACCCCCACTTTAATATTGAGAGGGTCAGAGTTACTAAATGTTAACAGAAAAAAAATATGGGTTTTTTAATTCTTAAGAGTGTAAGTATAATTTACCAGATTGGTGGTTAGAAAATCCAAATACACTAGCAAAGGCACATGTCTGTATCTACAAAACACGCAAGGCAGTGGATTGGGTGTCTGTATAAGGCTATCTCTTTGTAACACCACTGACATAGTACTACTTATTTAGACTTTCAAAGGTTTTCAGAATATTTCTTCATGTTATTTGCCTGATCAGGTACTGGTGTACCACTCAGCATTCATTCCTATGAATTTTCTTGGTGCTCGCCAGTGTGCTAGGTACTAATAAGTTTAAATAAAGTTAGAGTGAAAGAACAACATCCTGATAAACAGAGGGAGCCCCACTCTTTATTTTCAGACACAGAGGTTGAAATCTGCTCTTCCCTACCGATCGGCTTTGCAGGGTGTCCACGGGGTGGTTTTGCGTTTGTGTGTTTTTGGTTTATGGCCCGTAGCTGACGTCTCTGGAGGCTGCTGGTCGTGGAGCCGAGGTAGCCAGCACAAGGGAAGTCCAGCCTTGCCCTGGCTGCTCTCCCGCTGAGCGACACTGTATGTCTCTCCTCCCTGCACTCATGTTTCCTCCTCGTAAAATGAGGAGGCTGGAAATTCTTCCCCAAATGTCTATCTCTCTGAAACCAGACCGACATTGTTGTTTGTTTGTTTGTTTGTTTGAAGTGATGTGCAGAATTCAATTTTCTTTCAGAAATCCAATGTATTTCCCCAAGAGTAGAGCTCGGTAGCTGCCTTCCTTGTCAGGGTCCTCTAAAAAAGTATTTTTTTTTCCTTTTCCATACAGCTGAGAGGGAAAACTACTTCCAGCTTCCAAACGAGCCTCAGGTTTCTGAGGAAAGCTTAGAGCAGAACCGCCTGAAGGTGAAACCCGCGGGGGAGGGGAGCCTGCAGCAGGGGCAGCTGCCCACCCGAGGGCTCGGGGGCGCGAAGAAGCACGCGGTGGCGTCCGGACGAGACTTGGAAACTCTGTGCTGCACCAGTGGCTGCTCCCTGGCTGACCTGAGTGCTCTTTGTTAAGACAGGAGCAGACCCCCAGGGGGTGGCAGAGTTTTAGCGCCTGTTCAATCCCAGTATCTTGCTGCCCAGCACACTTGCATTATGTAATTTAAATAACGGCTTTTGGATAGGCAGTCTTCCTTTCCGAAAAGCTGTGCGTGAATGGCTAAAGCCCACTGAAGTCTGTTTTCTTCCTTTGCCAAGACGACTGACTGCACTGTTGTTCTCAAATTTTAACGAATCCCTTGAAATTTCAAATGCAGCATAAAGTTGCAATAAAAATGTCATCAACAATGCTGTATGTGATTTTTAAAAACTTTTTAGAATTTTAAAAATAGCAGAAAATGCTAATGGTAGAAAAACCTAAGAAAATTAACCTTTATTTCATCAAACAGAAATAACTATCCACTCTTAACTTTTGGGCTACTGCGTATTACTGTTGAAAATTAAAACATGGATTTATTGTCAGGTATAAAAATCTAAACGAAGTGCTTTTCTCAAAGCCCCTGAGAGTGTTCAATAAATATTTCTTGATATAATGCAGCTATTTGAAATTATACTTGAGAATAGCTTGGGGCATAGATGTATGAATCAGCCTCCGCAATCAGCTAAAAGCCAGAAGATAACAACCTCCTCCCTAAAATCCGGGCCCCTTGGTGTTGCCGCCCTTCTGCTGAGATAAAAAGATGTTCTATTCTCATTCTGCAAGTAGAGAAACTAACACCTGGATTGTCAGGTCTTTGTGATGCAATTAGATGTTTTCACAGAACTGTTTTCATCTCCAACTCTGAGAGTCAGCTCCTCAGTGGGTTGCAACATTTAGTCACACTCTGTCCGTCTGAAGTGCTGCTCTGATCTGCACTGTAGTTCATGTATTTAAAATCCATCTACTACATATTGGGCACTTAGACTGTGTCAAGACATTGTGCATAGCATTTGAACATTTCGCTTCCTGCGTTTGTTTCAGGAAACCTATGAGGAGGGGATAGTGCTTCATCCCTGTTTTGTAGCTGAGGAGACGGAGGCACAATGGAATTAAGCAAATGCGTCCCATGTCACACAGCTAAGGAGATGGTGTGACTGGATCCCAACTCCAGCTGCTGTGCATGAATAAAGCAGTCACGTCAAACTGTGCTGCTAGTCAACATATTTGTTATTACTACACACTCTTTCACTGAAGAATGTCCTTTGATGAGGCAGGATAATTAATTATATTAAATTTTAACCCTTGTGCACATGCCTTTTGACATTCGGGGTGGGGAAATGGGAGACCAAAGGAAGCACTTCTGCAGCCTGATGGCTGTCTCAAGGAAAAGCATTTGTGCGGCGGAATGGCGAGCGTCCCACTGGCTGTTTTTCCCATGAAACACTACTATTTTTCTTTGAAGAAAGACTGAAAAAGTGTGGTTAGTTAGATCTTGGTATTTGAAATTATACCAAACAAGATTGGAAAATACATAGAAGTGAGCCTGTAACTTCATGAGAAAGTACTGACAGTATTTTTGCTTATGATAAAAGAAAGTCAAGCTCACAAGCAATTTGGGGAAATGTTTATTCACTGAGATGAACATCAGTAGTGATATTAATGAATTTGAAGTTTTGATATTGTGTAATGAAATGTGTTAATGTTTGTAAGCTCTGAATAACTCAGTGAACCAAATTTTCCAAATGATCAGTGTATGATATTACAAAACCATGAATGTGTATTATGATGAAAATATAAATAGATAAAATAATAAAATAGTCTTACATTATATATGTATATGATATTCTTGGTCTTCTAAAGAGTTTTATTCTATTATGTATTGCTTAGTAATTTATTTTGTTATCAATTACTTCTGAATTTATCAAATACCTATTCAACTTTATCATATGATACTTTTTTCTTTTGTTAAGGTGAAGAATTATGGAGATAGTCTTCCTTATGTTGAAATTTCTCTGCATTCTCAAAATAAATCTATGTAATCATGGTGTAATATTTTTTAGTACTCAGAATGACAGAATTGTTAATATTCTATCTGGAATTTTAATGTCTGTGTTCATAAGAAAAATCGATCTCTCTATATTGGGCAGTGAAGATTAATCTAACTTCATAAAATGAACGTATTATCTGTTCTTTAGAAATTTGGAAGAAAAAAGCTATAACAGTATATTTTGCTTGGTGACTTTTAAAAGACTTTCACTGCAGTGTAATACACATACAATCAAGTGCATAACTTTTTAGTTTTTACTGGAATGTGGCCACACTTATTTGGTTGTTTATGTCCATGGCTGCTTTTGTGCTTCTGAAACAGGGAAAGTCAGTATTTGTCTTGCTGGAACCAATAAGTAGAGACAAGGAGTGAATCTTCGTGGCCACATTATTCAGATGCCAGTGATCTGAGAAGATGGTGGGTTATGTGCCCTCAAAAACCATCTTAACATTACATCTCAAGCTGACCATCTTTATAAAAAGAAGAAAAGGGTAGTTAAGAGCTTTGGAATTTAGAAAAAAGTAAGAAAGGGGTTTGAAATTCAGGGGAAAAGTTTCATCAGATAAAAGCTGCATACCAGCAATTTTCCTAGCATCCCTTCAGCTGCTGACCACTTTATCTGCATCCTGGCCTCCGGACACTCTCTCCCTGGAGCACCTGGCTCAGATACCATCTCCATGGCCTGCATTCCTCCTGGAGCACAATGGCTGAATTGAGTGCAGGCCTCCTGGAGTCAGGGTGGGTCTGGTCCGGGAACAACGTCCTTCTAGTGCATTAATCACTAAACTTACCAAGTATAACTAAAGCTTAACATTTTTAACTCTTCGAGTCCACCATCACTTCAAGGCCAGAAATGAGAAGTTGTGGAAGAGACCTCATGCTCTACAGAGCTAAAAATGGTTACTAAATGGCCCTTTATATTTTGCCAACATGTGCTTAAGAACATTTTAACTTCCTCAGGTTGACCCAGACCCCTAGAATGGGTCCTTAAAAGGCTTTGAATGTGTTTATGAACTAGATGCAAATTGGCTGTTTTTAAAAAAATTTTAACTGTCTTGCCAAAGTAAATTTCTTGTTATAAAATAAATTTTCTAAAAAGAAAATATAAGCCCTGGCTGGTATAGCTCAGTGGATTGAGCGTGGGCCTGCGAACCAGAGTATCGTGGTTCAATTCCCAGTCAGGGCACATGCCTGGGTTGCAGGCCAGTTCCCAGCAGGGGACACATGAGAGGCAACCATACATTGATATTTCTCTCCCTCTCTCCTTTCCTTCCCCTCTAAACATAAATAAATAAAATCTTTAAAAAAAGAAAATATAAAGATAATGTATTTTTATAATTTCAATATTCACTTGTTTTTATTTTAAAAATAAAAAAATGAATTTCTAAGCTTAAGGTTTCTTATATGAATTTTAAAATGATTTCCCAACACCCCCTGCACGAATCAGGCTGGGTATGCATTCTTTTTGATTGTTAGACCATCCACGCTCACCTTTGTCTGTGGAAGCAACAACTTTAATTTTTTCTGTTACAAATGGAAATCGAAGCTTAGTGCTCTGGTACTGGTGATACTGGCTCCTCGCCCTGCTAATTAGGGGAAAGTAGCACAGGGGTGGGTGGGTAACCATGAGTTTCAAGTTATATCCTAATCTAAAATTTAAAAAAATGTGTGCCATCATTAAACCAGTGAGAAAAGAAACTGTGAAGATGTTACAGGAAAGTTTAATCAGGCACTTAACATGTTTAAGCCTCAATCTGATGTGGTACTCAAGAGTTGGAAAACTTTAGTTTAAGGTAATTGTTAATAAGCCTAGTAGTTAATGCATGTAGAAAGCTACTGTTTCAGGAACTGAAGGTACAGCCCCCACCCAACTCCAGGAGACCACAGGTGATTGACCTTTGTGTTCCAGAAGAGACTTTAAGTAATCAAGGTGGTATCTGAGACAACCTGTTCCTGGAAAGGACAGTCCACCCCCCAGGACACGAGACACAGATAAAGAAAATTACTGATAAGTGGGTGAAAAATGTTAGGGACTTGGCTGGACTGCAGCGTTTATCTGATTAACCTCTTTCCTGGATTCCAAATCCCTTACCTATACTTTTTCCTCCTCATAAGAAGGCTGACTTGAAAGGAAAGGTAAGAAGGCTTCTTAGGGTGCAAACCCACCGTCTTCTCAGATCCCCAGCCATCTGAGTAAAGCGCCCATTAACCAATTCAAACCCTGTCTCTGCTGATTGGATTTGGTGGGGACAGGCAGTATCAATGCCTTTTCCAGTTTCAAATCAACCTTCTAGTTGCATGTGCTCGTGCACATGAAGAAGGAAGAGAACATATAAATTCAAATGGACTCCAAGACAGGGAGAAATAAGCGGCAGTAAGCAAAAGCAGCGAAAGGAACTAAGAAAGAACAGAAGTGGGCAGAGGCGAGACATCTGAGTGGAAGAAGTGAAAAAACTGGCAGAGATTAGAAAAAAGAGGCTAAATTTGAAAAATGAATAGGACTTTATAATAAATGTGGACTTTAGGAGAAATTATTGGTCATTCAAAGACAGTAGTAGCAGATAATCAAAACTTTGAAAAGAAAAAAAACAAGTACTCTGAGGTATTATATTACATTGGGGAGCAGAAACTGCTAAAATATGTGCTCAATTCTTCAGAAAAACAGGTTCTACAGGAAGAAATTGGACATCAAGAGTAAGCTTCTATGATGGGTCAGACATCTTACGAACACTCTCCCCTTCATTCTGGATGGCAGGAGCAGAGCACTGATCACCGGTCAGTGAGAAGTCGTCTTCATTACTAGAATCGTTTTTACCTTTGAGAAAACCGAGGCTCAGGACACTGACCATTTCACCTACTGTCACACAAAGTAAAGTAAAGATCCAAAGCTCAAATAAGATGTCTGTCTGTCAAACATGTGTACAAACAAACAAACAAACAAACACAACCCCAGCCCAAAAGCCTGGATCACATTGCTGTTCAGGACAAATGAGCTCAGAAGACAGCCAGCCAAGGTGGAAGGCAGCGACTGTTTGAGGGACGTGGCTGGGGGACCAGACCACCTCTGCTGCTCGTTTAAACCACACACGGGAGGGTGTGAGAACCAGGTCACGGGAGGTGGAAGTGAAAGTAGCAAAGAAAATCTGAGGTAGTGGGTAGAGGCCACTTCCTTAAAAATGTGGGAGCAAAAAAGCATAGTAAGTTATCAATAGCTACTTAGTACTGAATTTTCTTAATGCACTTTTTGAAATAATATCTAGAAAGGTCAGGTAACAGTCCCAGCAAACAGTTTACTCTCTAAAATGCTAGATTTAAAACTTCGAATTTCTCAATTGTTGTTTTTTCAGTCACTGCCCTCTACTGAATTATTCTCAAGAGCTTTTTAAAAACTTTAAAAAATAATTTTATTTATTTATTTTTTAGATTTTATTTATCTTTAGAAGGGAAGGGAAAGAGAGAGGGAGAGAAATATCAATGTATGGTTGCTTCTCATGTGTCCCCTGCTGGGAACTGGCCTGTAACCCAAGCATGTGCCCTGACTGGGAATCAAACCACGATCCTTTGGTTCGCAGGCCCGCGCTCAATCCACTGAGCTATACCAGCCTGGCCTCAAGAGCTTTTTTAAAAAAAAAAATCAATAAACTGACGTAGTGTTTAATTTCCCAGCGCATAATCTACTGGACTGTATTGTAAGGGCCTCCTAGAATGCTTTCTTTAAAGTTCTTCTATTAACCTTGACAACAGACAACAAACAGCACTGATATTTTCATTCAAGATGCTAATATATTTCTGAGAGAGAATCTTTACATTTCCTTTGATGTCTGATAACAAAGACGGGTCATACAGAAATTTTTTAGAGTGAAGATCAAAAGGTAAGCATCATTTAATTTATTTGGGGGGAAATTTTTCCTGTTGATTTTGGGAGAGGGCTTCCTGCTAACATCTCCAGGGTTAGCTGAATTTTCCGTAATTTCCTCTTAGTTCTGACTGTGCTGCTGAAGCTGCTGCTAATGAATATTTTATAAAGCAGGAGGACGATGTTAGGTCTCAACCTGGGTGACTGCCAAGTCAAAATCTCTCACCTTGATGCTGTAGCTCAGCTCCACTTCCACTATTTCAGCTGCCTCAGAATATCTCTGTCTGAATGTCCCATTATCAACTTAAATTCAGCAAGTACAACAAAGTCAGACTTCGTATCCCAGTCCTCAAATTCTTCCTGTGACTTCCCTGTTTTTGCTGACAGGACCATTGAGGGTTCTAGTTGCCCAGACTCAAACTCTCAACTGCAATTATACGAGCTGCTTTCGATGGAGGGCTTCCTATCAGGCACTGAACGGTTAAGAGCTCAGCGAACATGTATTTTCACTTGTTTTTAGCAAGCAGAGGCAGTGATGCCCCTCTTGCCATCCCTTTGACCAAGCGCTCTGTCTCATGGGGCTGGCCCAGACAACAGCCGCCCCACCATCCTGAGCCTGACTCCAAAACCCTGTGAGGCGGGTACCAGCATGATCATTACTTTAAGGTAGAGAAGCTGTGGCTCAGTGAGGTTAATAATTTATTTAAGTTCCCTTAACTAGTGGCTGGGATAGCAGGACTCAGAGCTGAGATGGCAAGCATCCAGGGCTCAAAACTTCCAGCAACTTTGTCCTGTTCCCTTAAAGTCACCTGACTTCTCCTTCCCCTGTGACTGATCACGAAGACTTGGTCCTTACAACGTCCCATACAGGAACTGTCTTCTGCTTTGTGTTTCCACGACACCTCTTAGTTCAGCCTCTCATTATCTCTCACTTCTCCTGGGCGGTCTTTCGGTTCTCTTCTGACAGTTGATTCTAAGGACTCACTTCACGTATACAATTAGCTGAATGGAAATGAATGGCAAGCCTTCCATGACTACCCATCACATTTTCTAACCCAGACACTCAGGCTGTCCTCCATGGACCCTGCAGTCTCACCGCTTATGTTTGTGAACACTGCTTCTCACCCAGTCCGCACTTCCTCCTGTGCTCCGACCTCCTCTGTCTCTTGAAATTCTACTTATCACCTTCGTAGTCTAGACAAGTACTATCTCCTTCATGAATCTTCCCCGGACTCCTTTATCTAGATAAAGATATTCTGGAATTTTTAAATAAAAACATATTGGAGCCCATGCTGTGGTCATGTGTGTACTTGTCATCCCTCGAATACCCTGGTTCCTCCAGAGTTAAACTCTGTGTCCCTAGTATCTTTGGAGTTTGTAGTTAGATGGTATAGCTCAGTGGTTGCACATGCTTCTTGCTTGGAAAGTTAAGATGTGTTCGATTTTACTGTGAGGTGCTGTCAGGATGTGTGGTCCATACATTCACAATGTTTTCAGTCTAGTAAGGGGAAAAAACTATTATTTAAAAATTAGCTAGAGAAGAATCAGGAGGAGCTCAACTGGGAAAGTGATGAAAGAAGAGAGAACGAGAGGAAGGAATGGCCGGAGGAGGATTTTGAGAAAAGGTGAGACCTGGGTTTAATGCCGAACGTGCAGAAAGTTGCTGTAAGTGGAAGGGAAAAAAAGGCGGGAGTGAAGGCAGAGATGGGTGTGGCTGGTCTGGGAAGAACACCTGTTGAGAGAGAACAGTACCAGGGAAATTCAAGAAGTTTCAAAGGAAAACTATTCCCTCAAATTTAGAGTGTCATTTCATTTTTTAAAAGCTTAATTTAAAAAATTGATATAGAATTAACATTATGTAATTTTAAGGGGTCTTGTGCTGATTTGATACATTTTTATATTGCAATTTGCTTACCACTATGGCGTCAGCTAACGCATCCATCAGATTTCCTACCAGGAGGTTTTTTGTGATAACTAGTGTTCTTCCAAGTTAGCTACCATTAGTGAGTTTTGACTGTATGTTATTGTTCATTACCAACTATCTGAATTACATATGGTACATGGCGGTGCGCTGGGAAATGGCTTCCTTTTTGCTTTTTAATAGCCATCTTATTTTAAGGTTTGATTCCTAACACAGCCTGGGACAGATGGGAAGAAAGTATCATGGATAAGAGTTTAGAGCTCTAAAAAAACCCCATTTTTATAAAGAGGTTTCTACACACTAAAGAATGTTCTTCATTCTTATTTAGTCTTGCAACGTTGTTCTATGATTTCCCATTATTACTCCAAGAGAGGAGGTGTTTGCAATTGTGCGATGAAGCTATGAAGCTCATTTACTTACTGTGTTTATGACACAAGCAGGTTCCAGACTGGTCTGGGGAGGCTGACAGCTACTGGTTTTGATAAATTATTACACAGACGTAGTTCCACTAAGGCAGTAACAGAAAAAAAATAACAAAAATTGACTAATTCATTGTGAAAAACTCCCTTAAAAGCCAGAGCAAGCAGAAGGACAGGGATTTAGAAAGTATATGTGGTTTTACTACACGCCATTTTGGGGAAAAATAAGACATCAATATATTTTAAAACACTAAAGCACTGCCTATTTTCCCACTTGTTAAATTTGTTTTGATATGACTTACACATCATCCTTTTCTTAGAACTATCGCGTTGCTAATTTTCTCCATATGTGTACAATTTGCCTTTGACCTTGAACAATGTCCTCTAGGCAGTCCACTTACCGTCCAGAAACAATGCCACAGAATCGTTTTACCTGCACACAAATGGCTGAACGCCCCATAAAAGTAAATGATCCATGGCACAAGCTGCACTAACCAGCAGAATAATGAGCTGCCTCAGCCCTGTAAATTTTAGTGCTGTCCATTCAAAACCACACCAGGTCACTCAGTACTGGACTCGTAAGAACAAAATAGTAAACATGCGTTTTATTTGTTAAGCAGCCAGCTATGTGCTTTGTGTAAAAGTTGGTTAGCCCAGGAAAACTGGTTCGAAGGCACATCAGGCAGTGTATATTCAAACCCAGTGTCTCATTTGAATACATGATTTTATGTGTTACAAATACACTTCCTATGAAGCATCATGTATATTTAATACCACGGCGATTACTTCAGTGCCCTAAAAAGGCTTTGTTCATTTTATAGTTCCCATTATTGAAGAAGAGCCGGCATTCAGTTCTCCCACACTTTTGTAAAGTGCAGGTAATCCACAAGAGCTTCTACTTTTAGCTAGCAGCCCCATGGGACAATGATAATTGTTATGAAATCATTAATTCTACCTCAGCAGTTTCAACTGTCAGGTACATGTAACCGTAATTGCAGCTAATGAATGCTGCTCAATTTATTAACTAGAAAATGAAAGCCAGTATTCTTTTATATGCAGCACTGAGACATATGAACATTTACATTTGTGTATGCCATGTTGAATATCCTACTGCCATTTATTGGTCAGAGTATATAGCCATGTTTAAAAAAAACTTCTCATTAAAAAACAATGTGGGAAATTCTAACTTTTTAATTGAAGAGTAATCAAAATAATTAGGACCAAAAGTAATATTTAATAAGAATCTATGTCTATGGAAAAAGATCCAAAAGAACAAAAACTTAGTTCCTTCTTGAGGTAAACAAAATTCTTCCTTGTGCCACCCTCCCCTCCCCCAAACTTTACAAAAGTACAAAGAAAATCCAAAATCTTCCCATTGTTTGAAGTATCAGCGTTTCTTTCTAAAACTTTTAGTCAGTAAAACTTGTGTGCACTTAGGTATAGCCTATTTCTTGATTTAAAACAGTAATACTAGATTTCTTATTTTCAGTTACTCAAAGTAAACTGCATAGACATTTGCAAGAGCAAAGAGTGAAGAATTTCTAAAAACATAAGATGCGAAGTTATCACTTTCCGGGGTCCAGAGGCACCGGCTCCCAACGAGGATGCTCTGGCCGCTCAGTTGCCCGATGTAAACAATCACTATCAGCTTATACCGTGGGATCAGCAAGCCCTTCACCTGCGCTTTAATGACCTAGAATTTAAAAGGAAAAAAAGGCTCTCATTTACTATACCTACACTGAAACTTAAGAATATCAATCTTTGTCACAAATATAGTGTATCTGATTCAGGAAAATGGTATAATCCACTGCAGGTACTTTCAATAACTGTTATAGAGCCACAACTGTGATTTGCTTCAAGGACTGTCCTCACAAGATAGGACATTTAGGGGCAAAGTAATAGCACCAGCAATAAATCTACATTTTCTAAGGCACTTGAAAAAAACTATCATCCAGAAAGCAGAATTGAATAGGTTTATCACATTTTTTGAAAATCTTGTTAAGATGGTTTCCCTTCAAGAGATGTTGGCATTAGTGTTATGCCATCCGGTTCACGTCTCATTAAGAGCCCATATATCTGGAGTCCCCTGCAATATGATTAATCATACATGTTTATTAAAGACTTTGTTATAAAAAAGCAAGCAGAGAAGACTTGAGGGAGTGCCAGCATCTTAGTTGATAAAAATGGAAATGCATTTATATGTCTGTGGTTGGTGGCCATTGAAGCTGCCTTGGTGGAGAGACATGATCATTAAAATATTTTAGTTTTTATAATGATTTTTTAAAATAAATGGGCAGTTTTATACATTTTTAACACAAAAAAACATGTAAATGATGTATATAATGATTGTTTTAGACAAAGGCTTTTTACACGCACATAGAATATGACCTAATAAATATTTTAATAAAATGAAATATAAATAAGCAAATTTTTTCCTGCTACTGCAAATTAATTGCCTCCTTCAAAAAGTAGGGGGTTGTGCTTTTCAGCAAATACTCTAGTTACAGTTAACACTTTAGGCAAAATCATACATTACCTCAGAAATCGTTTTAGTCATCTGTCTGCAGAGCTCTGGTTCATATTGTTCTTCTTGCAGAGAGTTAGTTAACACATCCTTCAGAATATGATTGACAATAGCCACAGGAAAATGTTTGCTAGGGCCTGAAAATACAGACAGAATTCCTTTCTAAGAAGTTGTTTCATATTATCCCCACCCACCTCATTGGCTAATCAAGAGTACTGAAACACGAAGAGACAGTCAATCTTCCATGTGGCCTTCATTTAAGGAAAGAAGTAGCTGTAGTTATGTTTCCAGTCAGTTCTCTGGCAGAAGACAAGACAATGAACTCATCCATTTACCAGACTACCTAAAGAGTGTGCTCAGCCATTGAGGGCTCACACGGGCAAGTATCTCCCTTCCCAGTTTCCACTGTTAACGACTGACTTCCAAGTCTCAACACCTGTCTCCCCCTTCAGTCTATCTACTGCATTGCAACTAGATGGATTGCTCTGAACCCCCCAGCTCCTACTACGATACTCCCCTTAGCAAGGCCTAACGTTCAGCAAACACCCAACCCATAGCCTCTTCTCCCACCATCACGGTTCTCCCCACGGAGCCTGCCTCGTCTTGTGGACTTCAGCTCTCTTCTAAAGGATGCTTGTACATTGGCGCTTGCTCTTCTTTTTAAATAGAACACCCTTCCCATCTTGTTCATCTGAGAAATAGCCATTGTTTCGAGGCCAGCTCAAAAGCCTTCTCCAGGTAGCCTTCCTTCCTCTTCAGCTGAAAATCACTCCTCTCTTCTCTGTACTCCCAATGCAGCAAGCCCCCAGTGTTATCCTGGCTCCTGATCTGCCTAACAGCTAAGGCAATACCTCCCTGCCTTCCCAGTGGAATGATACGCTAGGTCAGATTTTATCCTCTTCAGAGTCTAATACAATGTGAAAGACACAAGAAGCATTTAGTATATGATTTCTGAAATAAAATAGAATCAAACACTTATAGATAACAATCATGATACAGATCATGGCCACTTTTATTGAGCATTTTCTACATGTTAAGCATTGCAAGAATTTCATATTCATTACCTTATATAATCTTCCAGTAAATCTCTGGGGGGAATCTGTTATCTTCATTTCCCAGGTGGGAAAACAGGTGGAAATGCATTGTGTAACTTGCCCAGAATCAAGCAGTTAGCAGAGCTGGGATGTACTCTCAGATTATTCTGACTCAACATTCTTAACCACATTTCATCCACATACAGAAGAGAAGCTTCAGGTGGATCTTCTTTATCCGGCAATCTTACCCGTACCCCCTGGGAATATTAACCCAATAGTCTCCCATGTAACCACACGGTACAACACATGTGTCCAGGCAGGCCCTGGAGCACAGAGACTCAACCACTATTTGCTGAATTGATACAGATAGAGGAATGAGATCAAGAATTATATTTAAGTAGTAGTCATCAGAATCTGTTAAGTGTTGATTTTTAACTACTGTATCAGTCAGGGCCTAAGGGAACACAGGACACACTCAAGGCAATTCCAAGAGGATCTGTAATAAAGAGACCACTGAGAGAAGCCGGAGCAGGATACAGGAAGTCACAAAGGAAACGACCTCTTGGCTGGCGAGAGTGAGGGTGTTGCCCTCACCCTACCCCAGGCTCCAGGGATCTGATGGAGGAACTCTTACGAGGTCCTACAAGAGGCATGTGAAGTAGACTCCCTTCGGAGCAGTTTGTGTCCTTCTATGGATGGATGAAAACAGCCTGACATGAACCCACAGCCAGGGTGGGGACTAAATACCTAGCTCACACTCCCTCCACGCTGTGACTCCCTACTGAAGTTTCCCATTGGCTGAACTTAACCAGACAGTTACAGCCCATGGTTATAGTTGCGTCGAGTCAGCCTCCTGAGGCTCAGTAAGTAGTATTTTAATTTTGATGATTATATAGAAATTGTTCAGTTAAATTTATATTAGTGTAGGGAACGAATCTGGACATGTAAAACAGAGTCATCCGATACAATGAGTGAGATGACCGATCCCAATATTTAGTGGGCAGGAGTCTCTGCTCTACAGGACAGACGTAAGCAGTTACCTGCCTGTGGGCGGATGGACCCCATTACTCCTGCCTCATGGGGTCAAAGGCAGAGCACCAGTCCCTGGCAGCCCTGCGGTGGCTTTCTGTGGATCTTTCAGATTTCTGCTCAGAGATTCTAGTGAAATGAGGCTAATTTTGGGGGTGATTCTCCCCCTTCCTATTTAAGAAATTCTAAAATATTGCAAGTTTGGACTAAACTTCTCTTTTTCACTCCCTCCTAACAAGTACTCATGTCCCACGTACATTCTGTGACCTTCATCCCTCACATGAAACTTGATCTAGTCGTGCGTTAGGGTGACCACGGGCATCGCTCCCTTACCAAAGTGGTGCATTCCTTCCGCGCAGGTGTTTGTCGGCCTCGAACACCTGCCTGTCCTCTGGGAGCAGCACCTCCCTTTCCAGGAGCAAGTTTGACGGACCCAGCAGCGGCCCTTGCCCCAGGCCAGGCCAATTAGTCCTTTCCTGGAATTTTTATTTCACACTGGAACTAAGGAGAAAGAAAATGTCAGGCTCTTTGTGTGGCAAAGTTATGATGTGGCCGTGAGCAACGCTGGAGGCCGAGTTCCTCAGGGCGGGAGGAGCGTGCAGTGCGGTGCCGGGAAGGGAGAATCCTGGTGGCTCTCCGGTCCCAGTTTCTAGAAGCTCCTGTTGCTCAGCTGCACCAATGTCCTTCTGGCGCTTCACTTAGTTTTTTTAAAATCTCATTAAGCAGGTTCTATTCTGAAGATATTTTGAAGTACAGGAATGAACTTTTCTTGCTTCTATGTGACTCTCCCCTGTGCAGCCAGAATCAGCACTGCCTTCCTTGCTCGGGCAGGGGTGCTGAGGAGCGAAGCCAGGGAAAGAATCAGTGTTCAGCCTTTGACTTCTCAAATACGCCCCTGAGGCTACTTTCAGAGTCGACTGATGTGAATGCCAAAGCTTTCTTTTCTTTTCTTTTTTCTGAACATTGTTTTTTCTTTAGGAGAAAAAAATTGTTTTGGAAGTCAAAAATTAAGGACCTGAAGATCAGATGAATAAGAAAGAAAGAAGGCGAGAAAGAAAGAAGGAAAGAAAGAAAGAAAGGAAGAAAGAAGAAAGAAAGAAAGAAAGAAAGAAAGAAAGAAAGAAAGAAAGAAAAGAAAGAAAGAAAGAAAGAAAAGCTTGTCAATAAAAATAGATTTAATAGAGAAGAGCTAAAAATTTGGTTAATATATCTGTGCTTCAGCTTCCTCAAATTGAGGTAATAAGAATTTCCACATTATTTTTTGTTAGGGGTAAATGAGGTAAACTATTTAAAGTGCTTACAAGCACTTACACAAAACCACTCATTAGATACATGACGTTTGTACAGAAAAAGTCCAGCCATTGTTAATATAATGAGAATGGTTTGCACAACACCAGTGTAACCTGGCAGCCAAGGAGAGGGGACTGGAATGCACAGGCATGAACAATGACGCCTTCACTGTACTAGTCAGTGGGGGAGGTAGATGCCACTAAGTGAACAGGTGTATTGTGTGGCCATCATACTAAAATGACTGAGCAAGTAGAACAATGAATCTCCATCAAATTTTGCATTAAGCTTGAACATTCCTCCACGGAAACTATTTGGATGATTCAGAAGGCTGCAGCTATAGGCAACTGGTGATTAGCTGCTTCATCACCATAATGAACCTGTTCCTGTAGAGTTTTTTTGGCAAAACAGCAAATCACTCAGGTGACTCACCCCACTTACGGCCCAGATTTGACACCCTGGAACATCTGGCTTTTCCCAAAACTAAAACCATCTTTGAAAGGCTTCCCTGAGTCTCGTAGATTTCAGAGCATCTGTGAGACTCAGGAAAATACAACTGGGCAGCTGATGGCGACCGTAACTGTGTGAGGTCCCAAGATGCCTACTTTGAAGGGGACTGAGGCGTCACTGTCCTATGTCCAGGGTTCCTTATATCTTGTATCTTTTCCCATAAATGTCTCTATTTTTCATAGTGCATGGCTGGATGCTTTCTGGACAAGCCTCATACATTATTGTTGTTCTTGTCACCTCATTCTGAGGGAGGATGGGGGAGCGCTTGTGCTTTGAGAAAGCAGCAATATCGGCGAGGCTGTGAGTAGGGAGGAAGGGAGGCCTCTGCACAGTGGGGCAGAGTCAGTGCTGAGAGACTCCGAGGCTCCGTCCAAGGCAGTATCTCGTGACAGGGCCCGACTGTCTCGTGGAAGCTGAATTCAAACGCTGAATTCAAGAGCTGAATTCTCTCCCTTCCTCTTCATCCTGAAGTTCTATTTTTCACTGTGTTGGCTTCGTTTTCAGGCAGGCACCTTGTCTCCGCGTGGCCATGCGCGTGGCCACCGGTAACTCACACCTGACTCGGTGCTCACAGTCAGTGTTTTTCAAGAATCAAGCACCCTCTTTAGTCTTTGCTCCAAAACAAGTCTTCTGGAGAATAGAAAATTGTATTGGATGTCACTGAGGGCTTTTCTTCCTAGTGATTCAAGGTAAAGTCTCAGAGTCAGTCATTTTGAAAAGCAGTAACATAATGAATAGAGAAGCAATTTAAATACATTACAGCATTTAATTCTCAGAGTATCCCTATGATATGTGGATTATTCCTGTTTACAGATGAAGAAACTGAGATTCAAGGATACCGAATGCCTTGCTTGAACATCATTTATTTAGTTTTAGCAGAACTAGTATTCAAATTCAAATACATTGGATCCTATAGCCTGTATTTTTCTACATGTATGTTTCAGTAACTAATGAGCAAATGTAAATGGTCATTATAATATTATAAGAAATATACTTTCATTTTTTCCATTCCCCATTTTCCTTCATTAATTTACATTCATGTTTTCTTATACATACAATGTTTCTTGTATCTTGTATCTTTTTCAATAAATGTCTCTATTTTTCATAGTGCATGGCTGAATACATTTACATTCATTCTTGGTGGCTATAATTACTCAGATAAAAGGAGGACAAATATGCTGAACATTTAAGATATGTTTAGATGATACAAATATTATTGGATAGAATGCAAAAAATTACACACCATAATGCTGGTGATTGATGATTGCCCCTCCCGTCCCACACTATTCTGGTCAGTAGGGCATTTTGTGTATATAAAACATCTTTACCAAAGGCCCATAGAGTAGCTTTCAGATACAAAACAAACCCAAAGTAGAAGCTGAAATATGTTTTTGGTTTTAATGAGATGTTAGTTGAATATATTTTAATAACATAGCTTAAAAATGTATTTCAAGCAAAAACTTTAATCTTAAGAGAATAATTCACATGACCTTTTACAAAAAATTAAAATACTATGTATAATTTTATTATATATATGTATATATATGTGTATATATACATACATATATATATACACACACACACGCACACACTCACACACACACTAAGGTATTCGGAAAATTACTTTTCTAACCTGTTTCAACACCCATTACTGCTAGAACTGATGAGACAATTTAGATTGTTTATCTGAGGAAATAAGTTATGAAAATATATCTTAGAAAAAAGAAACACTTGACTTTCTATTTCAGCTCCTTTATCTTATTGAAATCGGATCCCAGCCCGTTCATTATGCAGAGCCTGGAATCATAGGCACTGAATGGCTAAGATCTTTCCGTTATAAGTGGCGACAACCTCACCCAAACTCAGCTTGCCTCACTAAGACGGCGGAGAGTACTTGGGATCCAGGACTCAAACGATGACACCAGGGTTTAGTTCTTTCTCCATCTCAGGCTTCACGTGAGGGCAAGAGAGCAACAGCTGCCAGAACGCCTACGTTCTTTCAGGTTTCAGGGCCTGATCTCCGTCTTCACCAGCTGAAACAATGTTTCCTGAACTGAATACGGAGGCTTTGATGGACTTGGCCAGTCGAAGGGTTCTATGCCACCCCAGAATCAGTCACTGTTATGTCTCTGAGGCCAGTGTCAGCTTCAGCAGAACGTCATGGACCCAACGTGGTCACGATGGGTTCCCCTCCAAAACTGGGTAAGGTCACCAGAAGTAGCATAAAAGCATACTGGATGGCAGCAACATTAGCTGTCTAACCGTAGCACTGTGAAAATACCAGTAGACTGACTAATTACGGAGCCTCGCAATCCATGTAGTCTTTGGGGGTTACTGTAGCAAACTCACTACAAGGCCTAACAGGACGCGCTGATGGTCTGTAATTTTCTTGAGGTTACCTGTCACAGGTGGAACCACTCTGGCCCACGGAGTCTTCCTCTGGTCATTGGCAAAGCCTCTGTGGAATTTCTATATAGCAGTAATTACATATCTATTCAGATAATAGTGGGCAGGTACACACTTAGAGAAAACAAGTAGGTCTATGAGGAAACATCCATGGGAAAAGATAGTCACTGCGAACCCCCCGGGGAGCACAGGGGCAGGTGCAGCAATCTTTGTTTTGAAAGATCTAAAGCCTCGGCTGGAGGGATAAACACCTGTCAACAGGGGACTAGAAATCACCCGCCTCTGCCTGCGAGGCTTTCTCCCCCCCCCACCCGGCCACAGCACTGGTTGGTTTGGTTGGATAAAACTTGCATGCATACCTCTTTTATTTCAAATTGTAAATATATGCTTCATTTCAAGTATATATAAAACAGCTCCCCAAGGTGACCCCCAAATACTCAGTGAACTCCTTAGTTCCGTGACAAGAGTGCGTGTCAGTGCCTCCGGGGAGGGGCCTGGTGTTGAGGAAACAAGGACAGAGAAAAGTAGGCGATGGGAGTTGGCCCCATTTTGCAGAGGAAAAAAATTAAAGCAGCGTCAGGAGTCAAGTGTCTAAAGACCCACCCCCAGGTCCAGTAGAGGGCCAGGCAAAGGGGAGTCCCCCCTGGGTAAATAGGGGGCCCTCTGACCCCCTTGCCTGGCCATCGGACTCCTTTTAGGTGCAGGAACTGTTCAGAGTCAGGGAAGGTAGAATGCCTGACCATGGGAGAATGCAGGACACTTCGCCGGGTGTTGCAACACGGGTCCTGTGCTGAACTCAGCTTTGGCTAAGGAACAAAGACAAGTGTTTACGTGATATGGTTCTCAGTCCCCAAGCACGGACTCCTTTGCTGTTGGCCACAAATCTTCCCCAGATCAGCAAGCACCGAGCCCCGACTGCAGGCCCAGCTCTGCCCCCGACAAGCTGGCACGCAGCTCCCTCATCTGGAAAAGGGAAGGGTGGGTGATGTGAGTTCTTCCTGACAGGGACCTTCTGAGGATAAGGCGTGCTAGGTGGGAAGGACTAATGTAGATGTAGGTGTTACTTCTCCCTGAGCTGCGGCTTTCAGTGTCTTGCACCCTGGCTTTCCAAGACGCAGCACGGGCATCAGGCCCACACTGACCCTCCCTTCCCTGGTCACGGGGGCCCTGCCAGCTGCACTTCACCTTCTGGTGACCTCAAAGCATTTTCACGGTTGCCTCCAGGAGAGCAGGTCAGTAGTTCTGCATGAGCACAAGCAGCCCAGGAGATGGGGTGAAGGGATCCAGACTTGACCTGTCTCCACATGTGACCCTTTCAACCCCCCATATTTCTTTAAGATGCCCCCCTCCATTTTTCCCTATTGGCTCAGTCCAGCCTCTTGGGGGTGGGGGAAGCTGATTAGGACTCATGTAGCATTAATCAACTGTGAATTGTTGGGGTTGGGGGCCTCCTAGCCTCAGCCCCCAAGGGTGAGGGGGTATCTCGAGATTCTTCCTTGAGAAAAGCTCGTCCCCAGGTCTTGCCAAGGTGCTCTCTGTCCAGCTATCTCCATGGAGACAGACTGCTCCCTGGGGAGAGACCTGGACCTCCCGCCCATGGAGACCTGCAGCCTCAGTGCCGCAGAGTTCAAGACGTAAAGAACCCTCTGAAAGCAATAAAGTTTGGGGCGATGATATGTAAAAAAATGGAAGGCATCAAAGCAGCATCAAATCACTCAGTTCATTAAGATCCCTAGCAATGTACTAGCATTGAAGATAGTGCCAGATTAGCAGATATTAGCTTAAGTAAATGTCATTCAGGAAATTAGAAGTTTATGATAAAAGCAAATGATAAAATAACACACCGAGATGATAGGTGTTTTCCACCTGAACTGTAAGGCGAGAGGCAGCATCACACTGGCTAGGTTCGTCCATGTAAGACACAGTACTCAGAGAGCTAAAAGCAAGGAAGAAAACAAATTGCAATAGTTATTACAACAACAATAATAAAACACAACGTTGCTTTCAGCAAAAATGTTACCAAGGTAAAATTTTCTCTAAAAAATTTCAAGCCAGTCCCATCTAGACATCCTGGTGATCTGTATAAACCATTTGAGAAACACTGAAGTGTGAGGAGGTCTCAGTATAGTGTTCGAAGCCCAGTGCAGTGCTTGGGGCGTTCGATTGTTAAGAAAGTGTGCCGGGTTGGCCTGTGGGCAATGCAACAAAATCCGCATTTCAAAAGCCATTGAGAACTGCCTCTCTAGCAGGGACAAAAAGGTTCTCCTCAAAGTGGACGGAGCTCACAGAAGAGAAATGGGGAGTGCATGTGGAAGAAAGCTTAACGTGTTGGGAAACCACTCTGTATACAAAAGGGGGTTGTAAAGAGTGCTCTATTCTATGTCCCTCACAAATCCCTTTAGCAGAAAAAAGAAAAACAAGACACTCGTCTGCGTGGGGAGAGAAACCACAATTCACCCAAACTATCGTAAATCAATAAGCATCAATCACCCTTTTCAACGTTAAGAAAGGGTTTAGGCTTGGTTACCAAGGCAATATAAGCTTATCCAGGTGCTGCACAGGAGACCCAATTCAAGAGGAGCCCCTATGTCCCCCAGGCGCTACTTAATTCGACTTAATTCAGAGGCGACCCAGCTGCCACCAGTGGCAGTCCCGGAATGCTCTGCCCCCAGCCCTCTCCACCTGTGGAAATGGGGGTTGAGCCAGATGTCATTTCAAAGGAGGAGATATGATAGTTTGTGTGTGTTTTTGGAGTGACCACTTTTATAAGCAGACTGTGTTTTTGCTTTAGTTAAATGAGAAAGAGATATTTGTTCTTAATCTTCTGGGATTTTATCTTCTTCTTCGAGGAGTTTAACACACTTCGTTCTCAACTGTTTGGAATCAGTGAGCTTCTTGCAAAAATATGTTTTAAGACAATCACGGGTAACATATATTTTAAAAATCCTTTAATACAATAGAGTTTACACAATAAATTAAGGTTTACCCACCCAGCCCAAGAAGGTGGTGCAAGAAATTACGGCTGCCTTTTCACGATGGATTTCTGGATTAGTGATTGAGTCTTTATTCTTGTAGCACCTGCTGTCCTCAATTTTTTGCTGCCCTTTGAAGTAGCAACCAGCCCGTTTGGTTACACTGGCTGCAGGTGTTGTGGGCGGTGCCAGAGACGAAGGCTTCTGCTGAGAACACCCAGCATCGCATACGACCCTTGATTCTAAGATAAGCCAGCCTGTCCCAATATTATAAATGCTACCTTTAACTTTGCAAAACATTTCCTATGATGATCTTATCTTACCTGCACAATACTCTTAGAAGTAAAAGGTCACTATTCTACCCATTTCAGAGATGCTGGGAACCAATGCAAAGGCTTACTTTCATACATGTAGGAAAGGCGAACTTATTTCAAATATCCCATTTACCTCTCAGCGACAGAGTTGTATCTGACAGAATAGAAATAGGAGTAATGGCTACCTGAAAAATGAGTTATTGCAATGAAGACTTGCACACACATTAAGAAGGTATTAATTAAAAAATACGCTATTTCTTTCTTACTGAATACCATACTAAAAACTCACAGAAAAAGAAGTGGAGTTGGTACAAGCCAGCAGGATTAGAAGACAAAGATTAAAAAGCAAATAAAGATTTTTACAAACAGTCCTCACGATTGCTTTGGTCTTACCATGTTACTTAATTGATATTCACAGGTTTATAATATTTTCAGTATGAAATTGGTGTCAAAGGACAGCTTAAATCCCCCATTGGCTGAAAACTGTGTGCAAATAGAAACTTCTGCCGTGACTTTTTGATTTACTGAAGATAATTTCATTCAGTGTCTTTTTATTTCCACGGTAATCATGTGTAGGGTCATTGTAAGAACAAAGTAAAATGACACAAAAACCCTGCTAGCCTGCCTTCCTTCCTTTTTTCCTTCCTTTATAACAGAACCCTAAGTTTGTAGGAATGTTTCTCTCTAAATTAAAGACAAAATCTTAGACTTTTGTGGTGCTGTTGGGGCCATGGGGCTTGGGAGCCAATGAGATGTAAGTGAAAGTTTTGGGTGGAAGTTCTGAAAGAGCTTTCTTAAAAGAACTAATTCAGCCCTGGCTGGCATGGCTCGGTGGACTGAGCGCGGGCCTGCGAACCACAGTTTTGCGGTTCGATTCCCAGTCAGGGCACATGCCTGGGTTGTAGGCCAGTTCCCAGCAAGGGACGCATGAGAGGCAACCATACATTGATGTTTCTCTCCCACTCTTTCTCCTTCCCTTCCCCTCTCTCTCTCTCTCGGAAAAAAAAAAAAAAAAGAACTAATTCAATCAAGAGAAGCCCTCTGTGATGACTGGAATATGGTAATGATGGCAAGAGTTCAGCAACTATCTTGGGTCTTGAGGTGATATTATAGATTACAGATCAGAAAAATAGATGTCTAGGTCCCTGAACTCCTCCCCTACATATTTCTTATGTAGGAGAAAATGTATTTCTATTTGGTTTAAGTCACCGTTTTTGTTTTTTTAATTATTATTATAAGAAGCATTAGCTCTAACTGATTCAAATTCTAACTGACCCAGAGTTCGTTTCTTGGGAGTGGGATGCTACAAGTAATGGAACACAAAACTTGGAGTTAGTTAGTGGAGGACAGAAGGCTTCGGGGAGGGACGTTTCAGGAATTCTGCTGTACGCCTGCTGTCTCTTGTCATGCAGAAGGTAGATATTTGGTTACGCTATCAATTTCTCTACCTTGGATGGCTGATCATGTCCAAAACTTCCTGGAAAAATTATAAGAAATTATACTATAAAAAATTCCTATTTATGGTATTTTTTTGGAGCTGGAACCTGATAGTTCCAACACTAGGAAGAGATGGGTTGAAAGAGGGGAGAGAGAAGAGTAAAGAGAAGAATAAAGTGAACAGAAAAAATAAGATATTAATTCCTTGTAAAAAGACGAAATATTAAAAACACTTTCAATCTGGGCAATTAACATTAAACCAGAACACGAAGTCAGTACATTTTCAGAAATAGGAAAGATCCTATATTTGAAAATTGGGAATGACAAATGTCAATTCAGAATACTGACTCAGAAAGACATACATATTTTCAATTGAGAGACAGCTTTACTGAAGCCATTGGAAATGTGAGATGTTCAAAGAGAAAACTTATTTTAATCACCAATTTTTCACACACGGCACAATACATTTATTTAGTATATGTCACAACACTGCAAGCAGGGGCATTTCAGTTATGTATGACCAGCCGTTCTCTAATTTATAATACTAACTCTTCTAGAGCCATGATCTCATTGCACAGGGTGTGCTTTAATTGATGTTATTTTTTTCAATGTGAAAAATGTTCTTGCAATTTGTTTGTCATCCCCTTCTTGGCATAAATGAAGAAAAAGTTCAGTTGGCAAAATGTATGCAAGAGAGCTGTAAAGTTTTAGAAAAAAGGTAGATTAAAAGTAAATGCAGGAGACCCTGGCTGGGTAGCTGAGTTGGTTAGAGTGCTTTCCTGATACACCAAGGTGGCAGGTTTGATCTCCAGTCAGGGGATGTACGAGAAGCAGCTAATGAATGCATAAATAAGTGGAACATCAAATCAGTCAGTCTCTCTCTCTTTCTCTGTCCCCCTCCCCCCTCTTGAAAGTCAATTAAAAAATGTAAATACAGGAAAATGGTAAACCTAGTGTAAATGGGTCACAACACTGAACAAATCAACTAAAGTTATTGTAGAGAGAAGAGTAACAATAGATAATCCAATGAAAATTTCAGGTAATACTTGTTGTAATCATGTGTACTATTGCTGAGACAGACTTGAAATGAACCTGGATGCAGAAATAGCTGCTTAAACTTGGTCCACACAGATAAAAGTAACCCTTGCGTGCTGTACTTGACTGATTGGAAATGTGCCATTCTAAACCAACAGCCTGGTTCTGATTACACAGAAAAGGGGCATAACCTAAAAAAGTTAAATAGCTAAGGAATTGGAGTATATTTATTCTTCCATGAAATTCAGTTTCCTGAAAACATCTTAAATATTTGCTTGCTGACCATTCCACACAGAATAAACACAAGAACTCATGTCTTGTTCTGCCTGTTAGAGATAGCAACATTATTTCTTGAAATCTCACCAGCCACAAATACTATGTAATTATTATTGAGAATTCATTCCCAGACATTTTCACTGCCATTATTGCTTAGGAATTTTGAAACTGCAGTAAAAGAGAACATTTAAATGCCGAGGCAGCCTTGGGGCCAATAACTTAGCAGATTAAGAAGGTCAGAATATCATCTCTTCCTTTTATTTGTTACCATGAAATACCTGGAATTACATATTTTGAATATTGTTATTTAAGCATGACTTTTTCCTTAAAACTCATTATTAAAGTCAGGTGCTGCCCCCCAGTGGAGACATTTCACAGCACATGGAGTAAAAACAGGCTCCAGGATACAAATTAGCACTTTTTTGTTTGTTTTTGTTTTTTCTTTATTCTTTCAACAAATATTTCTTGCCCAGAATGTGGCAGGCAAAGTAGGAAGTACTGGTAATACAAAGAAAAATTACAGTTCTTGTGTTTGAGCAACAAGATGTAGAAAGCAAGATAAAATATGCATCGCAATGCACTTACTTAAGAACTTCCCATCTCAAAGTTTCTACGTACAATTTTATGTATGTTATGCTTAAAAGCAAAAGCATACCTACTCTACTCCCATCTGTAGAAGCTATGTTACCTGGAAAGGTAATTTAGTTTTATGATCATTTAATCTATAGTAAATTTGCTGTATTTTTATGTTGTGTTAAGGTATTTTACTGACATTATCGGTCCCATCCAACTACTGAGAGAAAAGTTAAAGTATAAACAAGAATCAGAATATTTTTTTCAGAAATTAAAGAGAAGAGAAAGACGACGTGACCTGTGTTCTTGTGAAATACATTTTTAAGAGG